CATCAGCTAACAGAGATAATTCTACTTCCTCTTTTCCTATTTGGATTACTTTTATTTCTTTTTCATGCCTAATTGCTTTGGCTAGGATTTCCAATACTATGTTGAATAGGAGAAGCGAGAGTAGACATCCTTGTCTTGCTCCCATTTCTAGGGAGTGTATTAGTCAATTTTCATACTGCTGTAAAGAACTGCCAGAGATAATTTATAAAGGAAAGATTTTTAATTGATTAACAGTTCTGCAGGGCTGGGGAGGCCCCAGGAAACTTACAATCATGGCAGAAGAGGAAGCAGGCACATCTTACGTGGCAGCACATGAGAGAGCACCTGTGAAGGAAGAACCACCAAACACTTATAAAACCATCAGATCTTGTGAGAACTCACTGTCATGAGAACAGCATGGGGAAACCTGCTCCAATGATCTAATTACCCCCCTCCCTCAATACATGGGGATTACAATTTGAGATAAGACTTGGGTGGGGACACAGAGCCAAACAATATCAGGGGGAATGCATTCAACTTTTCCTCGTTTAGTATGACGTTAGCCATATATGGCTCTTATCATTTTTAACTAAGTTCCTTTGATGCCTAGTTTGTTGGAGGGTTTTTATTGTGAAAGGGTGTTGGATTTTATTTAATGCATTTTTTGCGTCTATTGAGATAATATGGTATTTGTTTTTAATTTTGTTTATGTGGCAAATCACATTGATTTGTGTATGCTGAACTGTCCTTGCATACCAGAAGTAAAACGCACTTGATCATGATGAAATATCTTTTTGATGTGCAGATAGATTCAATTTGCTAGTATTACATTAAGAATGTTTGTGATGGGCTGGGCGCGGTGGCTCACACCTGTAATCCCAGCACTTTGGGAGGACAAGGCGGGTGGATCACAAGGTCAAGAGATCGAGACCATCCTGGTCAACATGGTGAAACCCCGTCTCTACTAAAAATACAAAAAATTAGCTGGGCATGGTGGCGCGTGCCTGTAATCCCAGCTACTCAGGAAGCTGAGGGAGGAGAATTGCCTGAACCCAGGAGGAGGAGGTGACAGTAAGCCGAGATTGTGCCATTGCACTCCAGCCTGGGTAACAAGAGTGAAACTCCATCTCAAAAAAATAAAAAATAAAAAATAAAAGAATGTTTGTGATGGTATTCATCAGGGATACTGGCTTATAGTTTTCTTTCTTCATTATGTCCTTACCAGATTTTGAATTATACTGGTTTCATAGAATGAGTTAGGAAAGAACCCCTCTTCCTCAGTGTTTTGAAGTCGTTTCAGTGAGATTGACACCAGCTTCTTTGTAGGTCTGGTAGAATTTGGTCATGAGTCGTCTAGTCCTGGACTTTTTTTAGTTTGTAGATTTTTTTATTACTGAGTCAATTTTCTACCTCATTATTGGTCTGTTCTGCACTTTAATTTCATCCAGATTCAATCTTGTTAAGCTGTGTGTTTCCAGGAATTTATCCATCTCCTCTAAATTTTCTAGGTGGTGTGCGTAGAGATATTCATAACAGCTTCTAAGAATCTTTTGTATTTATATAGTATCAGTTGTAATGTCAGCCTTATCATTTTTTGATTATGCTTATTTGAATATTCTCTTTTTTCTTGGTTAATCTAGCTGCTTATCTGTCAACGTTGTTTATCCTTTCAGAGAACCAACTTTTCATTTTGATGTTTTGTATATTTTTGTCATAATTTTATTTCATTCTACTCTGCTCTTTGTTAATTCTTTTGTTCTTCTAGCTTTGGGTTTGGTTTGTTCTCATCTTTCCAGTTCCTTTAGATGTGAAATTAGGTTGTTAATCTGATGTCTTTCTATCTTTTTCATGTAAACACTTAGCAGAATAAATTTTGCTCTTAGCCCTGCTTTTGCTGTATCCCAAGGATTTTGGTATTGTGTCTATTTTCATTTGTTTCAAAACATAAAGTCATTCAACAGGAAGTTGTTTGTTTAGTTTCCATGGACTTACATGGTTTTTGATAGTTCCTCTTGGTATTATTCCTGATTTTATTCCACTGTGATCTGAGAAGATGCTTGATATGATTTTGATGTTTTTTAATTTATTGAGATTTGCTATATGACCAATCATATAGTTGATTTTAGAGAATGTTCCATGCACAGATGAGAAAAATGTACATTTTGTGGTTGTTGGGTACAGTGTTCTATGGTGTTTACTGGGTCCATTTGGTCAAGAATACAATTTAAGTCCAGATTTTTTTTATTATTTTCTGCCTCAGTGTTCTACCTAGTGCCATCAGTGTGGTGTGGAAACCCCCCACTATTATTGTAAGGCTGTCTGTCTCTTCTTTTAGGTCTAGTAGTAATTGTTTCCTAAATCTTGGTGCTCCAATGTTGAGTGCACACATATTTAAGATAGTAGAATCTTCTTATTGAATTGAACCCTATATAATTATATAATACCCTTCTTTTTTCTTTTTTTTTTTTTTACTGTAGTCGTTTAGAAGTCTGTTTTATCTCACACAAGAATAGCAACCCTTACTCTTTTTTGTTTTCCATTTATGTGATAGATCTTTCTCCATTCTACTACATTGAGACTGTGGCTGTCATGTGTGAGATTGGTCTCTTGAAGACAGTAGATAGTTGGGTCTGTTTTTTTTTTTTTTTTTTTAATCTAGTTTGCCAATCTGTGTTTCTTAGGTGGGGCTTTTATGCTTTTATGTTCAAGGTTAATACTTATATGTGAAGTTTTGTTCCTGCCATAGTGTTGTTAGCTAGTTGCTTTGTAGTCTCAATTGTGTAATTGCTTTATAGGATCTGTGTACTTTGGCCTTATATATGCTTTTATGGTTGCAAGAATCGTTCTCTTGTTTTCATGCTTAGAACTTCTTTGAGCTTTTCTTGTAGGACCACTCTAGTGATGCAGAGTTCCCTTAGCATTTGCTCATTTGGGAAAAACTTTGTCCTTCATTTATGAAGCTTAGTTTAGCAGGATATAAAATTATTGGCTGACTCTTTTTTCTTTAGAAAGCTAAAAATATATCCCCAGTCTCTTCTTGCCTATAAGGCTTCTACAGAGAAGTCTGCTGTTAGTCTAATGGTGTTTCCTTTATGGGTAATTTTTCCCTTTTTTTCATCTGCCTTCCTTTGAGATTTTTTCTTTCGTGTTGACCTTGAATAGTCTGATAATTATAGGCCTTGGAGATTATCATCTTGTGTAGTATCTTGCAGTAGTTTTCTAAATTTCTTATATCTGTATGTTGACCATTCTAGCAAGGTTAGTGAGATTTTCCTGAATTACTCTGTCAAATATGTTTTCTAGGTTTCTTTATTTTTCTTCTCTCTCAGGAATACCAACCCGTTGTAGGATCATTCACTTTACATAATCCCATATTTCTCAAAGGCTTTCTTCATTTTTCTAAATTCTTTTTTATTTCTTGTCTGGATTAATTTGAAAGATCAAATTTTCGAGCTCTGAAATTATTTCTTCTGCTTGGTCTAGTCTATTGTTAAAGCTTCCAACTGTATTTTGAAATTCTTTCAGTGAATTTTTTCATTCCAGAAATTCTAATTGTTTGGGATTTTGTTGTTGTTGTTGTTTGTTAGTTTTTTTTATGTAGCTATCTCATCTTTCATATCCTGAATTGTTTTTCTAGTTTCTTTGTATTGGATTTCAACTTTCACTTGGATCTCATTGAGTTTCCTTAAAATCAATATTTTGAATTCTTTATCTGCCATTTCAGGCTTTTCATTTTGGTTAGGACCTATTGCTACAGAGCAAATGAAAGACTTTGGAGTTGTCAGTTCATTCTGGGTTTTTTACTGCTAGAGTTCTTGCACTGGTTTCTTCTCATATGAGGGAGCTATCACTGTTATTTTTGAATTTGCTATGATTTGGATAGGAATTTTACATTTGGTAGTTCTTTTTTATCTTGAGAGCATGTTGTATGTTGTGTATGATGATTTGGCTTCCTTTCTGGGTGCTTTCAGAGGACCAAGGTGCTGTATGGGTCCTTCATTGTGGATAGCTTTTGTGTGGTGGCTTTCTCACATGCTGCTGGTTGTAGCAATGTATTCGACATATCAGCCAACACTCTGTCTGCTGCTTGGCTGAGAGTGTGGAAGTCTTATCACATACACTAGCACCCAGCCATTATGGCAGCAGGTGTTTTATTTGGTGGTGGAGTTCAAGCTCTAGTCCAGTAGGTGGCACTTAAGAGTAGGAGTGTCTCAACCTCAGGTAGATTGAAGATGAGTGGAAGCACCTACCCTGATGTAGAGAGGAGGAGACTGTGTTGGAGCATGCTGAGGTCTAAAGGTGGCAATGGGTGGAAGATGACACCCTCTCCACAATCTTTCCTAGCCATCAGTGCTGCCCCCTTCACCAGTTGGTGCCACATCCTTCATTTCCTTTGTCCCAAGGGAGACTTTAAGTGGGCTATGCTCCCCATTCCCTTCAAGGCAGCCTACACCAAGGGTGAGATCTCCAGGGCTCCCACAGCTCCACAGGAACCCACAAGCCCCCAGTGTTTGCCAGAGACAGAGTGGGTTGTGGGGTATGTTTATGGGGAATCTGGTGGTATGGTGATTCAAAGGCAGAGATTGCCTGGGCAGGGCAATGTCCCACCACAGGTACACAACCAGTATGGCTCAGTTCATCCATGTTAGTTCAGGTTTGAGGGAAGTGTAGGCATGCTTAACATGAGCTTGCCACCTGGTTCTCTGACCCTGAAAAGTTCCCCCAAGTCACCACTGACACCATTGCCCTGGATCCGAGGGTAGAGGGGCTCCCCAACAGTTTGACAGTCAGTGGATTGTTGCAGGGGTGAAGGGAGCAGAGAAGCACTTCCACCCCCTCTTACTATAGGGTTTTGAGTTCCTTAGGGCTCGATCTCTGCCAGACCCTTGCTGATTTTTTTCTGTACCCCAGCTTTTTCCCCTGGGCACTCTGACAGGTCCTGGATCTCTTCTGTCAGTTTTCCATTTGGAACATGTCCATTCACAGGTAACTTTGATCTTTCTGAAAAGAATTGGCATTCAATGTCACGATCATCCATCTTGAAAACCAGCAGCTTGATGGTGACTATTATAAAACAAGGTGAATTTATTCAATGCTACTACATAAAATAGGTTAAAACATACGTTTTATGTTATATATATTTTACCAAACACACGCAAAAAAATTAAATCCTGCTCTGCCTGTACCCAGGAATAGTCCTCCATTGTCCCTGGGGTGTTGATGTAATGATCACTCTTAATGCTTTGAGAGAAGTTAGTTCTGTTATTCCTTTCTATAGCTGCCCTTTCAACAGTGTAGAGGTGAAAACAAGAATATTACCTAGGAATGCCTTCTGTTTGTGTAGCACTTTATATTTGAAGGAAGGCTTTTATGTGGGTAATTCATTTAATCCTCATGGCAGCCTTGTAAGGTCAGTAGTGTTGATCCCTTTTAACTGATGGAAAAACGTGAAGCCTGAGAGGTTAAGTTGTCCAAGACTATAGGGCTATTAAAGGATGCAGAGGTTCAAATACTTATCTTCTGACTCTATAGCCATTGATTTCCCAAAGTAGAGAAATAACTGTCAATTTACTATTAGCTTTACATTTAAAATGCCAAAAGCTAGGTGATATTTTTGTTAAACTGAATAAAGAAAAGAAAAAGAAAAATTGCATCATTAACTTCCCAGTGACCAAGAAATAATGATTATGGTGAATTTATGCTCTAAATCCTATTAACATATTTGTGGCTTTTTATACCACTCTATTTTCAAACTTTGGTCACGTTTAAATTCTGTTTGGCTTTTTGTGTTTTTAGACATTAGCTTCTGAAAATACACTTTAGTTTGGGGGTTAGTGGGCTTTTCTTAAAAACTCCCCAGCCCCCAAATTAAATTTTTGTTTACAGTCATAGCTAGTCAAATTTTTATCTAAATTTTCAAAATAAACGTACAATTCCAATAAAAATAAGTAGCCAGGTTCTCTCATTGTTATGTAATAACTATTTCACTTTAGGTCTTAAATTTCATTTTTTATTGCTTTCCTTGAAGTGGATGGCTAATGTAAATGGGAGAAACCTGGCATCACACCATCACTGGTCTTAGTGACTTTATGAGTTCCCCCTAGAACAAATAGCTGGGTCAGTGCAACCTCCAAATTCTCAGCATGCAGCTAGCATTCATTTTCCTTTGAAGCCTGCCATAGATAAGTCAACTCAGAGCCCCAAGTTTCCTGCTTCAGAATGCTGACCTAGTAGTTGTCTCTGTCACTGGGAAGATGTGGTACTGTATGAAAGAGGGGCGGCATTGATACCCCTTCATTGTGAAAAAGCCTCCCTGAATTTTTTTAACTGATAACATAAATAACACTTCCTAAGGCAATATGCAATAGATTTCTCACTGTGGTGGTATTCTGTGAAAGAACTTGAGATTTTCCACTCCTGGGCCCTTCCCTCTGTACAGAACCTATAAAGTCTTCACTGACAGGTTACACATTGAACGTTCAAAGAGGTGGACTCTTTGTTTCCTCTTTCAAGTTGTTCCAGCTACTGTGAGGTGAAAATACTGTACAGTCCAGCTTACCACTGCATTTACTGCACAAATTCTGAATTCAGGTCCCTCACCTCATGTGAAGCTCTTTGGAAGCATTCACTGTACTTTA